CACATTGCCTCAGGTTTCAGAGCTCCTCATTTGTTAGCACATTGGGGCTGGAGATACACGGATTTATGAAATGACAGGTCTTTCTTTATAAAGGCAAACGGTTTTGTATTTAACTAAAAAGTATTACAAACACCTCACAGCTAAGTACAAAAGAATGTATAAATCATCTGGCTTATAACACAGCCTAAATTCTGTATTTTATTTTGTACCAGCAAGATAGCCATGCTTTCAAAATATTAGAAGGTTATACAAGATACCCATCTACTGCTCACCATCTATATTTAAATGATGATTTGAACAAGTTCCAACATAGGAGAAAGAACCATTGATGGGATTTTTTGACTTAATGGTTTTAAGATCAAGACACTGAGGGGTAAGTTAGAAGACAAAGAAAAGTGACTCATAATCAGTTGATGGCTGAATTCTTTCTTCTAAACTTTTTATTTTAAAGTTTCATTTTGTGTGTATGAGTGTTTTGCCTGCATGTATGAACGTGCACCACATGATGTCTGGTGCTTGAGAAGGTCAGAAGTAGGCACATCACTGGAACTGGAGATGTGGATGGTTGTGAGTCACCATTGAGGGCCGGGAATCAAACCGGGTCCTCTGTAAGAGCAGCAAGTGCTCTCAACTGATGAGTTGTCCTCCAGGCCCCAAACTGAATTTTAAGATCTTTATGCTAGCTGTTAATAGAACAGTCTGCTGAGAAAGTTGCTCTCTTTCAGAATGCGTAGCTTCAGGAGAGATGCAAATGGAGAGGTGAGGGAAGGCACCCACCAAAATGCGACTCTACCCTGGCAAACAACCGTGTGACATGATGCACCCAGAACATCCTCATGCCTAATAGGAACAATCTCTACAATGCTTTAAAACATATCAGAACCTTTGAACAAGTCCTCTCAGATCAGTTCTTTACTACAATATCCATCTTTGCTACAGAATACAATTTTTTTTTTTGAACAGGGTCTATCTCTGTAGCCCAGGCTGGCCCTGAACTTCAGATCCCCTAGCTTTGCTTCTTTAGTGCTGAGGATTACAGAATAAGGTGCACACTGCCATACCTGGCTACTGATTAAATCTAAGACCTTGAATATGCTAGGCAAGGCTCCACTCAGTTAAGTCACTAGTCCCAGAGGCAAATCTAGTAGCCTCAGTTAAATATGACTTGGAAAAACAGAACCACCAAAGCAGGTTTATTAAATATTTACTTAGAATAAAGTACTCACCAGTACCCCCACGTCTTAAACTACCTCTTTTCATTATAGTTCAGACTACTGCTTCAATATGATTTGTTTTTGTTTTTTTGAGTCAGGGTCTTACTGAGTAGCTCAGGCTGAACTTCAACTCACAATTCTCCTGGCTCAGCCCTCAGAGCTAGGGTTGCAGGCAAGTTGTCACTGGGCCTGGTTCAACCTTGAGGATTTTATTTTAGGGAATTCAGGTCTAAGGTCACCATGGAGGAAAGATTAGATATAGAAAGTTGAAGTCTGGGAAAAGGATTTCAAGGAACAGATGAGGGTTCCCTTAATAAACACTGGGAGATCTGGGCATGAGGACACAGGCCTTATTTCCAGCAAGCAGGAAACTGAGGAAGGAGAAACAAAAACAGAATCCCCAAAATACCGAGAGAGAAGAGACTTTACTTGGGGGTGGTAGAGGCATTGTAAAAATATTTAAGAGTTAAGACTGTTCAACTGTACAGGGGTTATTTAAAGAAAATGTTTTGTCTTGTTTTTTTAAATCCCAAGCACCTAAGACATCCTATATTTCTAAGACTGGAGGCTATGATTAACAGCTTTCAAATGAGAGATTCGGTCCTATATTACCCAGACTCATCTCTAACTTCTGGGTTCCAATGGTCCCCCATATCTCAGTCTCCTGAGTAGCTGGGAGATGCATACTAAACAGTTGGCTTTTTGATAATTTTCTTAGATAGCTTTAGGTTTTTGGCAGAAAAAAATCCCCACTGAAAATAAGTTCCTCTTAAGCATGTTTTCTGCAGGAGTGCTGAGACTGCTAACACTTTGAAACAAATGATGGGAGTCCATAGCACTCAGATTTTGCTAATCATCTAATATACTATTTATTTATTTTCTTAAGGGCTTTCATGGTTATACAATCTCTGCCAGTTCATAAAGTTTAAAGATCATTTTTTTTCTTGCTGTATCATCATGCAGTGCGGTTGCTGTTAACTAACAACACATCAGTGTCTCTGTTTCTGTCCTGGAACTTAGCAGCTCTCTCTCTCAGTACCAGGCCTCTCTGTAGGATTTTGTCTTTCAATGTACTCTGGGCAAGTGCTATGGTTACTGGGTAAGGCTGATATTTGTTGCTACGTACATTATTTTGGTATTAAAACTTCTGTGACAACAAAAGCATTTAAAATGACACACTATGGCAAACTTGAATTGCTTATGGAGCTGTGACAAGACAGATAGAGGACCTGGGCTCAAAAACACCAAATCACAGGACACAGAAGAGCTATCCTAAGAGAATGGAAATGTTGCATGCCCTTTGTAAAGACAAGGATAACTTAGCATTTGCAATACAATGCCTCTTGCTCCAACATCCTTGTTTGCTCTGTAGCGGGCACAAAAGTGTTCCCGGCTTGGGGAATAAAGGAGTGGTAGGAAGAAGGAAGGTGCCGGACAATGACTACCCGTTTTATAGGATTTCCCAACTGCCTGGGAAATTAGAGGTCAAAGTGGTTCCAACAGCTGCTAGCAGAGGGAACTACTGAGTTAAGGGACAATTAGGCTCCAAAGGTACATCCTAGAAGTAGGTGGACTCAATGCAAATTTGGTAAATCATTGAACTCTCTTAGCCATAACCTTTGTTCCACCACCAAGAACACCACCCCAGCTTCAGCTTTTCCGGTGTAGAAACATTTTTACAATTTACCCTAAAAAAAAAAAACCTCAGCTGGTAGCAAAGACTACGGGATAACAGAGGCTGACAACGGTCTAGCCCAGTGGTTCTCAAACTGTGGGCCGAGACTCTACAGATTCATATAGCATTTATTTACATCACGATTCATAACAGTAGCAAAAATAGTTATGAAGTAGCAACGAAATAATTTTGTGGTTGGAGGTCACCACAACATGAGGAACTGTATTAAATAAAGGGTCGCAGCACTAGGAAGATTGAGACCCACTGGTCTAGTCCAAACTCCTCTGTGTTCACTTGCCAATCCAACCCCCGTCAAGGCTCCTACTCCACAGCAAAGGAACAAAGATGGTTTTCCCGTTACTCTTATGTCATTTTTTAGCACTCTTAAAGCTGTATTGTGAAATGTATTGGGGACAAAATGAAAAAAAGGTTTTTACTTGCCTAAAAAAAAAAAGCAACGTGACTAGAAAACCCAAATCTACACACATCCAAAAACTTAAACCACAGGATACCTTGATGACTGCGGAGGCTCAAATCTGGTACTAGCCAGGACAAGAACACACCCCCACGGCTATTTCATTCTATTGGCTGGCAGGTAGTTCTGTAGTCTACACCCTTTAGATTTAATGTCAGGACGCCCTATGTTTGTCAGAGACGGTTACAGCGCTCCATTTTTTTTTTTTTTTTGAAGGGGAGGAGAGGAAAGGGGCACAACACAAGAAGCCACCAGTGTAAAAATTCTATTAATTTGTAAGACTAGTGAGCTCCGTTGGTCAATAAAACTTTCTAGATTCCAACACCAGAAAGAAAATCATTTGCTCTGTTCTTGTATCATCGGCCACTGGTGTTTCGGGGCTCACGCTAGGTGACAGGCACTGAGGCCAAAAGGGAACCGGTGCAGCGTCCTCAGTGCGGACGACACCAACACATGCAGAGGCCCGGGTGAAGGTCTGCCCGGAAAGAAGGCTGGCAAATTACGTGGTAGTTTCAGGGTGGAAAAAATAAAAAAAAATCAGTATCCTCTAAGGCTGCCACACCCTAGGCGGGGAGCTTGGAGGGGGCCCGGCCTGCTGGGCTGGGCTGGGCCGAGTAGCGGCCCGGGCTGCTGGAGGCTGGAGGGGAGGGCGGGCGGGACGGGGCCGGCGGGCGCTCACCTCCCTTGCAGGGCGTGCGGTGCTGGCTGTGCTGGGCCCGGTAGCCTTCGATGACCTCCCAGGAGCCGTCGTCGCGCCGGATGGGGAAGGAGAGGCTCAACACATGGTTGCAGGGCTTGATGATCCGCAGGATGCCGCGCACCCGGTTCCGCTTCTGCTCCTCGCTCTCCCGGGTCTTCAGGTCTTCCACCAGCTTGTCCTCCACGATGCTGGCGCCACGGTCGAAGAAGCCCTCCACCATCTTGAAGAAGTTGGGGTCGTCTTCGCGGTCGGCGGCCGCCTCGCTGTAGTGGCGGCGGGCGGCGGGCGCGAGCCCGGAAAGCGGGGCAGCGGAGGGCTGACCGCGGGCCCAGCCCAGCAGCGCGGCCGAATCTGCGACCGCAGAGCCCAGGGCAGCGGGCCCGGAGCGGGACAGCAGCAGTGCTTCTCCCAGGCGGCGGTACATGGCGGCGGGCTGAGGAGAGAGCGGCGGGGCCCGAGGAGACCAGAGCTCGCAGGCCTGGACGGCGGGAGGAAGGGCTGGGCGCGCGCTGCCCTTTTAAGCCGCAGCTTCCTGCTTGCCTGGCTGTCCCCTCCCCTGCGCAGCTTCTCGCCCCACCGGGAGGAC